TGCACATTCCACAGAGTGACAGAAATTTGCCACAGGGTGAAGCAGGAGACAGATATGCATCGCTTAAAGCATGAAACAAGGCCCAAATTAAGGTAATGACAGCCAGTAATTTAGTTTGACATGATTATTATAAGGGTGACTTGGGAAAGTTTCCTACAGTGATGGGGAAAGTGATGTGTAAAGCAGTTCTTTTCAGTGTCCTGAATATCTTGACTCTTTATATTGGTCACTGAATCTTTCAGAGCTCTGACTGTACTGTCCCAGTCACTGAACTCAATCATGGGTGAATGGTGTATTTTACTCATGATACCTTTGATCACTTTGACTAACATTTCAAACCTTATAAATCTTTATTTTTTCAAAGTCTCTTGATTGAGTAAAGGAAATCGTGGAGGGTTTTTTCCAGCCCATTTTAAACTGGATGAGGTTGTATATCATGAAGGGCTACGGAAACGGGGTCACGTCACGAGACAGTCTGGTATGATGGCCGAAACTTTGCTGTAAATACAAATTCTACACAGCACAGCCTGAGCACACTGAGTGGGACATGCTGATGTAAAGCATTGCCAAAGGCAAGTCGGCCTGCAGCTGACCTTCACTCTTATCTCACTTATGGTTGCTAGCATGCCTGATGGATGTTTCCTTATTGTTTGTACAGACTGACCCGTGTGGAATCTGTTTACAAGATTTGTGTGTATGTGTGTGTGTATGTTAGGGGGGGGTCTGGGCTTTTATGCTGTCTGCTCAGTAGTATCCCACACTACTGAAAAAGAAAAACACACACACAATACTGAAATGTTCCTATAACTGGGATTTTAGAGAAATTGAAACAGCATATTAGTCTGGCCACAGTTGTAGCTCCTCACCAGTGGACTGGAGTCGGGACCAAACTAGGTTTGGTAATGCTGTGGTCCAAACAGTTCCCACTTATTCCATAAAAACCTTCATCTGGAAAAAATTCTTCACAGCAACAGGGAAGGAAAAAAGGAGCAAAATCACATGAAGCCAGCCACTCTCCAATCTTTGCGGTGGAAAAGCCATTAAAGAACAGATGAGTACAGACTACCAGAAGGGACGAAGAACTACAGGATGAATGACAAGTGTCTTAGACGTTATTTAAAGGTAAACAGATAATTATAACGACACTGGATCCACTGTGTGGATTCCCTCTGTTTCATCTATCTCCCTCTGCCAGCTACCTACTGTGGTAGGAGTCTTTCAGAACTCTCTCTTTAAACTCTAAATCAAAGCTTCCCTTAAATTAAGAGGGCTACTTCACTTCATGCTGCATCTCAAATTAGGGACCTGAGATTTAGGTCCTTTGGCACCATTACATCAATCTGACTTCTTTATAGAGCCAACCACAAATGAGATGGGTTCTTAAGAGAGGATTAAGTAGAGTGATGCTTGAAATTAAGACTTAGACTAACAGCACCAGAAGGCAGGCGTTGACAATAAGCAAATAAATATTCCTGCTGGTTGACGGTTGAAGAACAACATGATAAAGGTGATGTTACACAACTTTGACATTTGATACTTTAAGTTATTTTAGGCTCTATATGAATGATACTGGGCCTCTGGTGATATGATTTGCACACTCCTTGTCTTTTATATGCCCCAACAAATGCCAAGGAGTAGCCTTGATGAGTACTGCATTAGATACTGTATCAAAGATGTGTGGTGCACACTGGCCCCTAAATCAATAAAGGCACAAATATCAGTAAACAAAACACTGCCAACCAGCCAAAAATGTTAAAAACGTAACTCAAGTAGCCATCACTTATAGAATAGAGAAACATTAAACTGCATCTAGGCTTGTGTTTCTAGCAATCTGATTATGACATCTCTCCTTTTAGTTTTTTTTGGGGGGGTTTCCACTAAATTCTGAGAGATAAGAGGAAACTGTGCCAAAAAAAAGGGAAATTCCTTAAATGGCCACTTCTACTCTCCAGAAACAAGTCGATCTCCATGGATCCCATCCCTAAACACTGAAGTGTCATAATAAAACTAGTTTAGGGCTCTTGGACCTCTGAACTGCGCTATAGCTGTTATCTGACAAATAATATGGTTTGCCATGCAGTTAATTGACACTATTAGCTTGTACAAAAACTATGTATGTATATCTATGTCACACACCTTTATCGTAGCTATACGGTCTATGGGTGTACCTTGCTAAGAATGTTTGCTAACACCGATAAATGACCAGTCTGCCATCTTGTTTAAATATGTTCTGGCTGCAAAACAAAAACAACAAAAGGCTAAAAGGCAAAATGCTTGAGGTTTCAAAATGCTAATTCACATGTAGAGAGGTTGATGGTTGCTATATGCAGTTTATTTTTAACCTGTAGTTGCTAAATGGCATATTCTCTTTTGCTAAACGGAACTTTTAGCCTTTGATTCTAAGCAGAGGCGCACAAAGTGTGCTGGTTAAAGGAAATTAAAAAGTTCTGTTAGACGAGCAGGAATAAAGCAAAGTAAAGTAGAAGTTACTTATTTAAAATCCCCCAAAATGGGCTGAAAGATAGATGGTGAAAACATGGAATAACACTTTGTGTAATTATGATTATAAGTGACACCAGCATAGATATTTAATCCTCTGTTCATTTTATTTATATAAAATTTGTATATAAATCCCAACAGTTACCTCAAGGTACATTTATTGTAAGGTAAACACCCTACAATAAAGACATTTATACACCACGTGTGTAATGTTCATGCAATACATGCAAATATTTTGTGTATTAAAAATATTTCTCAGCCTCACCTACTCCTAATACAGCCTTTCATACCGACCACTTTATTTCATAGGACGATTTTGCAGCATTTATTTTTTAGGATCATTCTCAACTTTTTTGGGATCCAAATGAACAGATCTGACTAATCAGATCGCTGCATTTAGCGACAAGTGCACGTGCACTTCAAAATATGCACTAGTACTGAATTTACAATGATATAAAAATGGTCAAATAATAATATTTTACCTCAGACACACAGTTAGATGCTGCTCTGGGTCAATCTGCTCTCTGAAATGGTTTCTCTGCCTCCTTAGATGTGGTCCCAACTCTGCCTGTAAGAGTTCAAACTGCCCCTCTGACATCCTGAAATATGTTGTACAAAAGCGTTCACGATACAGCTTCAACTCCTGGATGAAACCACGAAACTCTCCCTGCTGCTGCCTTCTCATGAAAACTGGATGAACCCAAAACCTCAGTTTCTTCCTTTCCTTATGTAGAACCTCAGGACCAGCTCATCATCGCTTGATGTTGACTTCATTTTTTTCACACTGTGTCTTTTAAGGATGAATATTTCTCAAAATCACAACATATTTGGAGTGTGTATACATTACACAACAACTATGCATTCAAAAAATTCAGAATTTTGTGTTGTTTTTTCCACACATTCTCTGCATTAAGGCCTTAATACAGCAAAACCCCAACAATTAGACAGTGGGAATGAAAAACTCCCCTTTAACAGGAAGAAACCTTCAGGGGAACCAAAAGTATTGACTAGCACTGCTTTACTAGAGGTAACCCTTCTGTTTTCTAAACTCAGCAATTTCTGTCAAATTTCCAGAACAAAATGACTGGGTGTGCATCAGTTAGTGAGCGTAATCTCTGCCTATACGGCATACAAGGGCTACCCTAATGGTCGTCAAACCACATATTCACTGACATACACACTTGGTGTCAAAACTCATCATTAAAGGTAATGGAGAGGTCATTCGATGTCATCTTTCTGGAGGAAAGCGTTAAAGAAGGACATATGCAGCATTGTGCTTGGTCCTGTTAATAATGGAAGGAATCTATATTGCAGTGGTATTGCCTATTATGTGTGTCATCATGACAAAACGTGGTCCTGGAGATGCTAACTGTAGCGAGAACTGCCACAAAAGTATTTTTGAGTACTTTGGCTGGTGTGAAGTTAAGATTAGAATGAATTCTTAGCCTTAACTACCACAGGGGTATTTTTTGATTAGGGATTCATATGTTGGTGTGATCACATCTTAAAACTGCCTCTTAGTTAAAGGAATGTTCACTTTCTTTTCAGGTCAATATTTGTAAAGTAAACTGGTCAATACTGGACATAAAGAGGCGTTTTCCTCAAGCAGTTCCTTTGTAGGTCAATGGAACTTCCTACAATGCAGTTTTAGGAAGTTAAAAGCCTGCAGAACTTGTTTTGTGCAAAAAAAAGAGCCCTCAACTTTTCACCTGAATATAGAGATAGTAAAAAAATTCCTTTTCTTCAGTGTGTAGGAATGCTAGTACTGTCAATCATTCCTCTATTGCTCAGATTTAATCAGCTGCAAATGCGCTTAAGTTCAAGCTATAATGTCCTTATCTTATCGACTATATATAGGACCATGTGGTACAGTGAATCTCTTACTCATTATGTGTTTACATCTCTATATCCTTCTGTATCTAGGACAGTCTGTCATGTGACCTGTGTGACAATCAGCTCTGCTGTGGCAAGTTTTCTTTCAGCCTGACAGCCATGAAACATTTGGACTCTGGTCACAGTGGGCCTCAGCGCTGATCGTCACTGCATTTCTGTCGGCATATGGAGGGGCTGGAGGGGTGGGGGGGTTTTGTTAACAGAGAGAATTCGATGAGCAGGCAAAGATATTCATTCTGCAAAAGCGCTAAAGTCTGTTTTTATTGGGTGGACGCAAATCCCTTCACATTCAACAGCTCTTTCTGGCAGCAACGAGCCAGTTCTGGATGGGTTTCTGGCTGGGCCTGTTGGGCCCAGCAGGCCGTGACAGGGATTTGACTTTCCCAGCAAGTAAGCGGGGAGCCTATGTGAAAACCACTGAATGGCTCACGACAGTTAAGAAAGAAAGAAGAAAAAAAGAGAGATTACGACTCTAAAAAAAGAAATCTGAGGTTAATCGATAAATGAGTAATTTCTTGCATTTGGCAGGAAGTTTGTTTCTGGAGCAAACCAGTGCAGTAAACTTGATTTACAGTCAAACAGATGCATAACAGAAGACATAACAAATCTGGTTTTCAGATATTTTATTGAGGAAAACATCTTTAACCTTTTGACCCATTGGACAAATAACATAATATAGCAAAAAAAAAAGAAACCAAAAAAAAAAGCTACTGAGAACATTTCCTCTGAAGCTCGATCACAGATTGAAAATCACTGCAACACCTGCAGTGTCTGATACATTTATAAAAATAACAATCATAAAAAATATACATACATGACAAAGATTTTTTTCTTTTCTTTTGCGATTTGTAAAAGACTGCATGAAACTGAGCTTTGGACAACACATACAAGACGCTGCAGCAACCCACAATCTCTAACTGATAGGCACGATCACTAGCTGACAAGCAGACTGGAGCCACTAGCTAGTCCACTGTTAGGACTTCACTGAGTATAAAATTACAATACATTGCCTGCACAATCCAAAGGATACCATCAGCATGGACAGCTATTTAGAAGAAACAACTGAGCAAAGAAGTTATGGGTCACCAGACTAGGGGATGAGAGCGAAATGCTTTTCCATCGAGAGAATTTCTTTTTTTGTTGCAGTACTGACACGATGCTAGTCGCGGATGTTTTCAGATTTTTTTGTCTTAATGCAGCTGGGGGAGAAAAAAGCTACAGTATAGTTAGCAAGCATGTAATCATATATTTATACACAATTCTTCAAAACAGGTGAGGAATGAAGCCTTAAAAAATCAAAAAAGAAAAACATTAATAACCATCAACCCTCACAACGGAAACATAAGGTGCAACTTAGTCGTCTGATGCTGAGGTGGACGCATGCATGCGGGATTCTTCGCTTTCCATTCTTTGTTTCAATGAGCAGATAATTAAAGCAGGCGCTGATAACAGGATGGTTTGGTTTCAAGCTCTCCGACAAGTTGTAGCTGTAATCTGACCTTAACAAAGACAGTTTGTACAGTAAAACACAGTAGCCCCAGATAGATAAACCCCATCACCAGCTGCACCCATCTCTCCAGATCATCAGTTGGGTTTTTTCCCTACTAGCGTCTCACTCTCTTCTGCCTCTCTTTCTCTATCAGCATCTGCTTCAAACAATGGCCTCATTAAACTTTAGGGCTATCAACAAAGGGGCAGGAGGGAGGAGACGCCTAAGTGTTTGGCACTACATTTCCTGAACAGAGTATCTGCATTCCCAGCTAAGTTCAAGCTCTTCAGCAGCAGCTGCGGAATTCCCTGCCAGGGTGCTACAGCAAACAGTTTCTCATCATCTGAGGTGTCTCTGCAAGCCTCCTCCAAAACTGAGGAACACAGTCTACGATCGAGCTCTCCCTGCATCGATCATCTACTTATTGTCACTCCCACCCCTCCTTGTTTTTGTTTTTCTTCTCAGATGAGAAAAAGTGAAGCACCACTACACAAAATATACAGGAAACATTGTTTGTGACTCCATAAGTCACTGATATTTAATCGGGCTCTGTCATGACATGCTGGTAATCTGGGACGTTTACTGAATATACACAAGAGGAAACGTGAACCTTGCAGGAACTTTTCGTTCGTACGTTTGGCTGCTACTTTACTGCAAAATCCACACAAACAGTGCTCCTTTTTCACCCGAACACACGCGTGTACACAAACACTGACTGTGCAGGATTTCACATATACATTCACAAGCCTCTGGGGGTGCTACTGTCTATAAACAGCGTAGGGGGTCATGTGGCCTGCTCGTTCTTTTCTCTGCCTGCTGTGAGGCAATAGGCACTTTATAAACACATAAATGTTCACATATACAAACAGACATTACAATAGCTTCATATTTTGTTTCTATTTCTCCCTTAAAAGTGGGTGGGGTATTCGAGTTAGAAAAAAAAATCTTTGGTCTGTAAACAACAAGAATTATATCCAAATGTGAGGTGATGTTTGTTGTCCACTCTAGTTTAATAGGATCTCACCTCGGTTCAGATGATGTAAAGCACGGCGCGCTTTGGAGCACTGTGCACCTCTGATTTCACCTCAAAGTGCATGTGAGTGTCTCGCTTAAAGACTCTGATGCAGCTGATTGGGCTGCTGCTGCTGCTGCTGCTGCAACATGCTGGCTAATGAGTTTCAATTAAAGATTGAATCAGTCTTCTGCACAGTGTCAATGATACGTCTGCAGCTGGCATTCAAGGCCTTAAAACTCAGATATTGCTTCCAAGCTATCCAAATGAGTCTTTTCCGAACCTGGTTGGCCTGGGCAGGATCAGGAGACTGTCGGTGTTTCGGTAAATGTGAGATAATCACATCTGAATTTTGCCAACTGTTCTGGATTTACCATTCATACTCAAAGTATGAACAAAAGCAGAAGCTTTGATGCAAAACACAGAACAAAAGGATGCCTTTTTTTCAGTCAGCTGTCAAGCACTGTGCAGGGTTAAGGGTACGACTGTGCCACTCGCTCCTGTTTAAAGACATCAGGATCCCTCCTTCCTCTCTCATTTAGGGATACTCAGTTACACGGCAGCCAGGTGGAGTAGGCAGGCTGCTGGCAAGCAAACACTGGCTGCACCTGCGCTATGTAGTAGTTACTGAAGTTGCCATCTGCCACATAAGGAGCAGGTTGGTAGTAACATGTAACATTAGCCACATTGGGGATGACATTCTGCTCAGCCAGGACACGTACAGCCAGCATGGCTATGAGCCCTAAGGTCTGCCGTCTCTCGTGTCCCATCAGACACACGGTGCTCTCGTTGACCACTCCGTGGAGGGTCATCAGGTAGTCGTACTTGCGGTCCTCCAGGCCCACAAAGTGGTTTTGAAGGTAGGACTCCAGCTTGCGCTGCTGCTCGCCAATATCAGGGAAGTCAATGAAGAAGCGCGAGCACATGTAGCGCTGCAGGGACTTCATCTCTGACTCTGACGCAGCCCGGAACCCCCTCACCAGCAGGTGACAGTACTTCAGGAGACCCCCTCCACGGATCTCCTCCGGGTTCCGCGTGCAGATTATCTTGTGACGTAGGTGGTCCAGAGCCTCACTGAAGTCACCATACACGCTCTCGCCCATGATGGTGGGGTGGAAGGTCTCAGCCATGGGGTTCTCTGAGCAATCATAGAACAGCAGCAGAGAGTCAAGCTTGATCTGAAATGAGTCCACGCTGAACTCAAACTGCCGCCGGAGAGAGTCCACAAACTTCAGCTCCACATTCTTCCCCCGGTTATTGGAGAGGGAGATGAGACTCCAGCGGTCTGAGTCATTGCACACCTTCACCATCTTTTGCACATAGGCTTCCTAAATGAGTGAGTGTGCAGAGGGTGAAAGAGAGTGAGAGAAAAAGAAGCACAAACAAAGTGAATAGAACTGAAGCTGCAATTACTAATTCAGTAGAATTCTGCCTAACTTTGCATTGTACAGTAAGGATTTGAATTTAATGCCTATATTTATACAAGTAATTACTGTATGTTGTTGAGCTATTAATGCTACTGACCTCAATATTAAAGGCTATGGAATGTACTTATATGGCTGAGCTCAGGATCCCTTCCAAATTGGTTTAACTCGATCCTCTTAACTACAGCAAACAAATTTTTTAACTATCACTAAAGTGATCTAATTGCACATTAAGCTGTGCGTAATGGTCGCTAATCCCTGTTGGCACAAATACAATTCAATCTTATCACATATATAAAACTAATCTAACAAATCTGAAGCAGAAATAAAAATCTGCCAGGGCGTGTGTAGCCTACCTTTAACGTTAAAGGGGTTATTTTCTCCTTATTCACACAGTCGGGTAAAAAATCCAGGAGACAGTCCAAAACTATGTCCTTCACAGTCTGAAAATCACTCTCTCCTTTCATATTTGCGCAAAATATGAGGTCAAGGTCTTTATAGCCCAGTCCGCTGTCCTCGTGCAGAATGTGGCTGGCCGCAGAGCCGTTTAATCGAACGTCCCGGACATGGATCTGTTTTTCCTCCATCCGACTGCGCACCACTTTAACTATCTGCCGCGGCTGCATCTCCAGAGTGGGGAAGTTTCCCCGGCCGTGTATCGGGATGGTCTCCGTCAGGATGGCATCCAGTCGCTGCACTTGCTCCCAGCTGAGGACGCTGACGTTGCTGCTGTCTGTGTCGGACACACAGCTGGTAGTGGAGCTGCTATCGTCCTCTGACATGGTGTTGAAGTCCTCCGGAATTTCAATAAAACAAAATTCAATCGTTTTCTCAAAACAGTAGGGTCTTCCGCATGAGGAGTGCCAGTATTTGAAATAGTCCAAAGTGACTGTAAACAGAAATAATAATAATAATAATATATATATATATATATTAAAGAGCAGCGGGGCTGGTGGCTGTGCGTTACAGTTTGCGCACTCTGGTTGGAGATCCAAGCGGAGAAGTGGCGCAGCAGTCGAGCTGGTGACTGAGCTAAGGGAGAATCTGAGCCCGCTAACAAAAGCGTGCGGAAGAGCGAGCCCTAACTTTCTCTTCTGTCTCTTTTACGCCTTTAAAACATTTGCCTCGGTGCTGCTGTCAATGCGTCCGAGCGCTGCGCATCACAGTCTTTGAAGGTCGCTGATGATCCAGGAGGGTGTTTGCTTTTCCGACTGTGACTCCATCGCCCAAAAGGCACGCCTATGACTTTATGAATTTGCATGAATAAGCTGCTGCTCAAGTCGCGCTTTTGGCACAGTCCTCCCACTGACGTTCAACCCCCTCGGAGGAATCTTGTGGATTTTTACGCACGGCTCCTACATATTTTTTAATATCTCCTCCTGCTGCCAAATAGTAATCCCGTTAATGCAGCTGTGTGCGCTCAGGAAATCCAGCTTCCTCTCCTCGAGTCTCTTTAGATCAACATATTCCCCCCCGTGCTTTTTTTCTATAAGTTAACCGATACTTGCCCACTTGACACGCAGCATCCTTCTGCAAGACTCTGGTCTGTAGTCTGAAGTTGTCAAGCTGCACTTCACCCCGCCCCCCATCTGCTTCTCGCTGCTAACGCTGGTCAGTTTGACAATACTATAAGGCTCTGCTTTATCAAGCTGCTCCATAGTCTTATAGTAAAATTTTAAAATGAATTTTAATGAGAAGATATATATTAAATTTCATATCACTTCATGAGATAACTGAGGCTCCGAACCACACTGAATACGGGAACAATCATTCAGTTACTCATGAGATCATTCCCGTGGTCATGATCCCTCTTTTGTCAAATAAAATTACAAATTAAAAAAAAAGAGGAAAAAAATAGAATTAAATTGTTAAAAAAAAATAAGCAAATAAATAAATATAAAAGTATTCTAATCTGTTTAGACTGAGCTGATCCGCAACTCGCTACACGTCGTCATGTCGCCATCTATGGGCTGGCTGGTTTAGGCCTTTAAGTAAATCAGCTGAGCTACACTGAGTCTAAGGCTACCTTTACAGTGTCACTATCTACAGTCATTGTTAAAAGTCATCAAAGAAATGCGACTTTTAATTTTAAAAGAAAAAAAAAGTGGGTAAACATTTTGCCTGTGACATTAAAAACATGTTACCTCTGACCTCACATACACCTTCAGCTGCTGATATGCTCAGTGACCAATCAGGATACTCTCTAAAACACACTTTAGCACAGGGGTGGGCAATTCCAGGCCCCGAGGGCCGGTGTCCTACAGGTTTTAGATCTCACCTTGGGTCAACACACCTGAATCACATGATTAGTTTGTTACCAGACCTCTGGAGAACTTCAGGACATGTTGAGGAGCTAATTTAGCCATTTAAATCAGCTGTGTTGGTCCAAGGACACATCTAAAACCTGCAGGTACACCGGCCGTCGAGGCCTGCAGTTGCCCACCCCTGCTTTAACATGTCCATCATGTCATTGGTTGCAATTAAGGGTTTGCATTGTGGCATTTCATCTCTTTGATTAATGTCATTATATTTCTGTATGGCTTCTTATGAACCTCTATTAAATCAGCATGTGAGAAGGTCAGGGGTTGCATGAGCCCGAAGGGATCAGTGATGCCCAGGGAATGCCATGTGGAGGCAAAGGAGGCTGTCGTCACGGACACTCTATTAGGCACGGGTAAAGCCCTGCGTCACTGGAGCCACCCAGATCTGTAAACCCTGATTATCCCATATACTCTACTGCACTGTCTTAACTCAGAGTCCCACACAGGAGCTGTGCGTAACTCCCTCATCATGACAGGATGCAGACACACGCAGTCAGCTATAATGGCGCTTACAGTTAACTTGCACCCCTGTAAAATCAGCCTTAATTAAAGAACGATTTTCAAATTTGGAAGAAAAATATTATTTTTAGAGTATAATCTAAAGGGTGTTTTAAAAAGCTTGACCTTCACTTCATCTGTTGCCTGTAATTGTGTGTTTTGTTTTCTCTTTACTTTGTTTTGGCATGTTGAACTGCAGACAGGTTGAACTGAAACTGAATCCCACATCTGGAAATATACATGGAACCGTTAGTCAGTTACAATGGACTGAAAGCAGCTCTGCCAATGCGTTTCCCAGGTGTGGAGACACGGTTTGCAAAGCATTGGACTGGGCCCCGTGGCCATGCATGGTGCTGCTGCTCCCCTCTGCAAAGCTAAATCAAAGCCAGCAGCAGGTATACACATCCATTACAACACCAAGGACTGCAAATGAAATGTTTTGTATAAACACAACCTGGCACCTCATTACTCATTGCGAAATGGATGATTTATTCTTTTGAGCGTATTGAAAGACAGGAATGAGATTATGTTGTCAGAAATTCAAATGGAGGCGCAAATTCAAAAATAATACATACCCTTTCCTACTGGTGATGTTAATGCCTTTTCCTGTCAGATGACTTGGTGGTTATTTAGATTTAAAAATCATTTCCAAAACAGAGCCTTGTTTTCCTGCTCTGCAGGATCTAATGTATGTGGATGAGACGGCTTCAATGCCTCATAAAGCAATCTTTTACAATCACACAAAGTTTTCCTCTGGGGTCTATGAAAACATTTCTGGACAGTTCAGCCCAATAAAGAAAAAAAAAGAAAAGAAAGAAAAGAAAAGACAGGGAGGGAGTCATTTTGTTTTCCAGTATCATTTATCAGACTGCATGAGCTGGTTTTATCTACCATGAAGTGAAATGTCGCTGCTCCCTTTGAGCTTTTCCCTTCAGATCAGGACTGTGTGGCAGATGGACCTTTAAACGTACTTTTTACTTTTCCTTCTAGTGACAAAGCCTTTGAAAAATATTTATAGACATACATAACAGATACAGACAAACTAGTCATCATTGCAGGTTCTTCACTTGAAAGGACAAGTCATTATCAGACACTGGATTACAGACAAATGCCATTAATAATGGATTGGATTTATATAGCGCTTTTCAAGCCACCCAAAGCGCTTTACAATGCCACTATTCATTCACTCTCGCATTCACGCATTCTTTCATTCTTTTTATTTTAAGTGCAGTTTCAAAATGAATTGGACTTATTATCTGCATAGATAAAAGTAAAACATCAGTGCTTTTTGACAATACAGCATCGCACTGTGGCTGCAGTTTTCAGCTGCACATCCAAGATAAGAATCTCCTCTTCTACCCCATCTTAACTGTGCTCTGCTGAATTGAGATCTAGTGACTGAGGAGCAGATCTGAGTACAGTCAACCCATTGTCATGTTCAAAAAACCAAATGAGATTATTTGAGTTTTGTAATATGGAATGTGGGTATTTACCCCACTGGAAGCGCAAGATGAGTACATTGTGGTCCTAAATTGATGAGCAACAATGCTCAAGTAGGCTGGAGTTTTTAAATGATGCTTAGGTACTAAGGGGCCCAAAATAAACCAAGAAAATATCCCCCACACCATTACAACACAGCCAGCAGCCTGAATTATTAATACAGGGTAGGATGGAGCCATGCTTTCATATTGTTTACATCAAACTCTGACACTACCATCCAAATGTCACAGAAGAAATAAAGACTCATCATATTATTAGTATTATAATCATACTAGGCAACATCATTCCAGTCTTCTATTGTCGAACTTCTGGTGAAACTCTGAAAACTTTAGACTCAATTTCCTGTTCTCAGCTGACAGAAGTGGCACAAAGTGTGGTTTTCTGCTACTGTAGCCCACCTTTCTCAAGGATCAAAGACGCTCTTCTACATACCTTGGTTGCATTCCCATCACCTCAAAGCAGTCTGGCCATTCTCCGCTGATCTCTGGCATCGCGATCGATCGATCGATCGATAGATCGATAGATAGATAGATAGATAGATAGATAGATAGATAGATAGATAGATAGATAGATCGATAGATCGATAGATAGATAGATAGATAGATAGATAGATAGATAGATAGATTGATTTGTAACCACCTTGTTGGCTTTGCTTACTGTTAGCTGAAGCCAAAACCTCTCCTACCTCTCGTTTTATTGTTGTTTCTTATCATAAGTCTAAACATTCTATAAGTTAGCATTAGCTAGGTTTGTATTCAAAATAAAGGCTGAGCTACTGTTACTAAATGGCTAATTTAGGGTTAGCATTTTTAAAGACATTCTTTTTTTTTTTTAATCAAGAACAAAGTCAAATGACAAATTTACATCACAATAGATGGAGACACAAAAGATTTCCACACCATGTGTTTTTATTTGTCAAGCTGAAACTCTAGGTAACACTATATAGTAACACTTCAGCTATTGTGCTAATGTCACTAGCAGTGCATAGTTTCGCTATAGTGTTTTAGCTAACCTTGTTGCATATTTTACTTTTAGAAATTTAGTAATACACCCAACCTTTATAGTTACGAAAAACAATTATTATGCTATTATTCTTATATACTGCAAACAACCACGTTAGCATTTTTTGTTTGTTTGTTTTTATTTTTCCAGTTTGGGCCAGTGGCAATTTTCCTATGTTTGTCATTATGATTGTCGTGTTTCCTCTGTTCAAAGTCTTGATGACATTGTGAGGTTTTGAGATGAATGTATCACATCTGACATCCTGACGTAGACCCTTTGCATTCAAAGAAGGTGGAATTGACTCCAGAGTAGATGGTGGAGATGCAGCTCATTAAGAGCACAGACTGAACATTGACTGTAGGATGTAGCCAATATGACATCACCCACTGCTTTGGGAAGTCTCATTTAGACTCTTCAAAGTCAGCATTTTGGGTGCCGTCAAGTTGGCCTCTCACCACCATGCTGGTTTTCTGGACCAGGCAGTGACCATTTCTGGACAAGTGGATGGAGCTCTATAGTATCAACTAACGCTAGCCTAGCAAGTTTAAATAGAAACCCCTTTATTAAAAAGTCATTCTAAATCCCTGCTGTGGCGGAAAGTTAATTTTAAATGTAAATGTTATGTTTTGTTGAGGAAGGATGCTGAGTAGCGAGGTGTAATGACATATAATGGTTGTGCACTACATTAGCTTAAGCACTTATGTAACATTAGCCACTGCAAACATTTTACCAATGGAACAGTTGATTTTACAACATCAATCTGTGTACATGGCTCTACCAATAGGACCATCTTGTGCGTGCATTATTTTTGGTGCTTTTGCTGGTAAACTGTTTCAGCCAGGAGAGATGGTGACTGAAACAGTTCCTCTAAGATAAATATGTCTTTCTCATTGCCAGCAAAGAAACCAGAAGCAAAGGATTTACAGTACAAGCACTGTCACATAAAAGACAATTCATTTTCAAGTTGTTTTGGGGGGGTGGGGTTCCTGCTGCCGCTGTAACTTAGAGAAGAAAAGAAGATGGAATAATTGGATGTCAGATTCGATCAGAAACACTTGCCCTGAGAAGCTCTGCAGCATGACTAAGATCTCACGTATGGGTGACCAGTTTCTAAGGCAATGTTGCCTAAGAAAATACATGCATAACTAGGAAACAAAGATCTACTCATGCTTCTCAGCTCTCTGTCTCCCCTATCATCCTTTACCCTCGTCCTCTCTTTTCAGAGATAA